ACGTGAGACAATGAATTTGCACTTTAAAATGTAAATGTTTCTCTCGTGCGGATTAAGTACGCTGCGCGGGCATCTCATTAGGAGGCCGCGAGCCTATATGTGTGTGCGCGCCTACACACGCGACAGGATCCGGGCCGAATTTCATTAAGCGTGACCGAAAAATTGTACACTGCGCGCGGGATTATCCGTACATATGAAACACGGAACAGGATCAATTGCAGTTTCAACTAACAGCTGCGCTCGCGCCTTTTCAGCGATTGTCCCGGTCTTTGTCTTCCTAACGCGTTTAATCACGTTTAATTAATTGAGAAGCTCTTACGATTCTCTGTTTCAATTTGCGTCCCTTTTTATCTAATAGATACCCACTTTCGGCGCGTTAAATATAAAAGCACGGGTCCTCAGCCGTGGAGTAACAAAACGCGACGGAGCTGACGTTATCGTGATCGAAAATAATGCGGCATCGCGATCAGGTGTTTGCGCACCTGCGCCTGAAAATAGTATCCAATTCGACCGTAATTATCCTGTCTCCTGAGAAATTAAACACAGCTGCACTAATCGGCCCGCGGAGACTTTAGCCGGCGAGGGTGTGCACTTGCGTTCGTCCGCGAAATATTTTCCGGCCGGGTCGGTCAGAAACGCGGGCTTCACGTCGCCACGTATTTGTAACGATCGGCCTGCAGCGCGTTAAAATCGAGAAACCGATGTTCCGCAACGGTCAAACGGACGGGAAAAGTTATGGCTGCGCGAAATTGGCACGCAGCGCAGGTCGCGCACGAAAAATTGGAAAAGCGGCAAACGGCGAAAAGATAGAACCGAGAACGTCGCGAGCTCTCCGGCCCTATTAGCCCTGAAAATATCGCGGACACGAGCTGAATAAGAAAACATGAGCCTCCGTTTGGGATCTCTCCCTAAAAAAGAAAAATAAAGAAAAAGGCAGTTGCCAGCTGTCGACTAACTTCGTCGCGTTTTGTTACTCCAACAGTTGTCAGAGCGAAACATTGGATTTGTTGCTTACAACTTGACTTTTTTGCACTTAATACTCGTTGCACACCAGACGCGATGAACGAAATCTAATGAGAGCTCTTATTTCTAAAGAGAGATCCAACGGGCGTTAGATATAAAAGTATGAAAAATGCAAGTAAGGCTAAAAATGCGCCGTTCACTCGCACGATCATCGAAAAAACAAACTGACGAGTCAATGAAAACGTCACGCTGCGTTGCATCAATGCAAAAACTTTTGCGGTTTTAACTTTTTCGCAGTCTGTCCTAAAATTACTTTGACCCACTACTGTCCAAATTAATTTCTTATGTTTAACAAATTTTTCACATGGAATGTTTAAGATTATTCAACATATAGAAGGTGAAATTTTACTTTCCCGATTTTTTATTTTTCCAAAATAGATTTGTGACTCTAAAGTTACGTTGGACAGTTACCATCGTTGCTAATATATTAAAAAAAAAAAGCAGCTATATTGTGATTTTCACATCCGTTAAGGTAGGAATAACATTCATATTGGAGATAAATAATGAAACTGGATTGTGTCTTCAGAGTCATAGTGGACAGTGAAGGATTAACAATCCGTGTACTGCACCGAATATAACCTCGTGATCGCGTCAGAATTGTTTATCTTTAAAGGCGCATTTTCTCGGCACAAGTAAACTGAACGACACGTACACTTTGGCATGATGTTTTCGTCGCTCAAGGAAGAAAACATCTTAGTTCATCGACCCGATGGTTAGACAGAGTTAAGATAAAGTGGCAACGATAAAGAACGTATTCGATCGAACGCGCAAGATGTACGAACGCGGAATCATCAACAGGTCTCGCGAAGTCAGCCAAAAGTCATTGGCAAGGCTCCAAAGGGAGACACGCCGGTACACAGATGCAGTGAACGAGCGTCGCGAGGCCGAGAAAGAGTTCGCTCTACGTACACCTCCGTGTGGGGAATCGGAAAAGTGATCGGAAGAAGTTCGCGCATCGGCGCAGTTGCGTCCATTTATGATAGTTTGAGTTTTATCTGGATTCATGATTTCGCACTCTGACACTTTAACCCGTTTTACTTGCTCAATGAAAAATGATGAAGAACAATGGAAACTGGATGGGGTATCTCGGGAGAAATGTGTCGAAGTTGATAGTCGGCAACTAAATCTTCATTAATTAATAATTATGTGTGAGAGAGAGAGAGAGAGAGAGAGAGAGAGAGAGAGAAAGAGAGAGAGAGAAAGCACTATGTGTAGCACTATGTGACTTTTTCTTCGTAAAACCCCGATAAGTATGCCAATTAATTTTCCCGAGTTGCAAACAGCTGATTAGATTTGCGAATTGATATTTCGGAAAATATTGCGGTAATTACTGTAATTATAATCTCGCCTGTCTCGCGAAATTAAATGGAATAACAGCGAGAGCGCTGTAGATGATAGGTGATAGATATTTTTATATCGACGGATTTCATTACGCCGACAGCCAAGACCCTATTATCAATATTTGTAAGCGCAGATCGATAAATACCGCTTGAGCGTAGGAGAACGAATCACGAAGTACCTTAATATCTAATATAGCTGAAATGAAAAACTCGCAAGGAGGTTTTTGCGACCGAGCGATAAAGGCGAAACGCGACCGAGCGAGTTATTGCTTCTCACTGCGCGAATATTATTTTTGCAATATCGTTCCCATTTGGATCGTAGTTAATGAAACTTTCGCGACAATTCAGCGCGATTCCGTCAAAGGAGCTCTCTGATCCAGGCCAACTTCGCCGGGTGTACGATCGATACTGGCAATCGCACAGACGGCTATGAGGCATTTCGACTAAGACACACCACATCCTCAACAGGTTCCTGTTGAGGATCTACTCGGGGAATATTGGAAGAAATCTCATCGTCGTAAGACACGAGAGGAAACGAGGGAAATGGCTCAATAATTGTGTCGTAAATTAATTATTACGCGCCTGATTAAGTCGATTAATTGTCCCGCCTCTCCGCCGCGACGAATACTGGACTCTGATTGAAGTTGGATTATTGCCGGATTATTATTATCGACGGGATAAAAGATGCATTTCTCGCGTTCCCGAATCGCTCGAACAATTTAGAGCTTCGCGTGACGCATTGTTGACCAGCTATTTTCAACATTGTTCCACCTGTGTTCCCGGTCTTGCTTTGACCATTGTCAAGACAAACAAATTCGGGTAGCAAAACATAAGTTTCCACGTGATCGGTCTACAATATATTAATTCTCAACGCTCTTTGCGACCTTTGAAGCAATATTACCGCCTTTGAAGGTAACATTCCACAGTCCACCTGCGCCCCCACGAACTCAATTTATTTTTCGCAACTGACAGTCACTTATAACTCAGAGAAAAATACTCCTCGCGCATTCTTCGCGACTGAACTTTCAGTACTTGCTGTCAGGACGGAACGCGCGATTCCTGGGATATACCTTACATAGAGCGCTCGCGAGGAAAGGGTTAAACGTGCGTGTAATTCCCGTGGGTGTTTCTTGAAACGCACGGAGCCGGAGAAAGATCATCAACAGGTCGCCGCTGAATCGCGCAGGGATAAGGCACGCGTCCTTCCCTTCGTATTGACCTTGACGATGGTTCAACGAACGACTGCGAGGGATAATCCTTCAATTGGCCGCGCATCTCCAGAAAATGCTATCACGCACCCATGTAATCTATACAGCGCTTGGCGAACTCTATATCACTTGTAATTCCGACCGATTAAGCCCCCGCGAAATTAATTTCCTCCCGAGGAAAGAATCCGCCCTATACGGTCGCTTATTCCGCGCAGTTGATTTGCCGCAAAATTATTTCTCTTTCTGGAGAACTCCATAAATTGCCAAGCTACCAAATGAAAACCAATATCTCTGGCTGGTCGGTCTGTCGATTGCTGCATTGTGAGAAATAAATTATCGACGCGATTGCCCGTATTATTGCGAAAGAAGCGGGTTAATGTATAATATAGCGCTTTGAAGTTTCACTTCTGTCCTCGAATTTTGACTTTAGTAGATTAAATTAAATTTTCTTCTAAAACGCCAAACCAATACACTCGTGTATCGAGTCGGCGCTTCAAAGAAAATTTCATTCCGTCGATGGGAATTTATCAGCAGTATTTCTAAAGCGATAGCTCGCGATAATATCTGAAAACGCCGAAGACGCGGCCAGATGTATCGCAAATGGGGAGGCATTTAAAGAACAATCCTTTTGAATTAAACAAGACAAAGGACGGATGAAAGTTAAGCTGTCGAGGGTGAAATTCGCCACAATGCGCCGACAGGAGCGGCGATTTATACGCTCTTCCAGCATTTCCATCGTTGAATTTTTATGTATAGTTCTGCCAGCGCTGCATATATGTATATACATATAAAAAAAGTGCAACGCAGCGAAAAGTCAATGTTTCTCTTGCAGCGTTATCTCGAAACACCCGTTCGACGGCTGGATATATATGGGGTGAAATAATCTATATTTCAAGTTCAGCTTCTAGTCAAGTTCGTTTTGTCCACGACACCACAGTACGGAAAATCTACAACGTGGATGAATAGATATAAATCTCTGTCACATCTCTAACAGTCTCTGCAAGAGGTTCTTGCAAACTTTGATTCCTAACCTTAATACAGGAGATTTGAAATTCGCAAGAAGATACTCTAGGGGACGCTTATCACTCGAACATCAATTTTTTAAACGCGAGAGTTCACTCTTTCTTATCAAATATTCGATCGAACGGCCCCCTCAATTTTTGAGCCTTCCGTATCCGATATCTTGATTAACAGCGCCTCGCAAAAAATTCCCTTAAACCGTTTGATTCAACCGAACGTTACCTTTCACTCTCGCTTACACTCCCGTCCGAAATAATGTCGCTTCGTGCACTGAGAAACTTTCGTTGGTATTCTGAAGAAAAACGAGCCGGAGAATCGTCATACTTCTTCCGATATTCCGACTGCACTTGGGGGATGAGAAACCGCGCGAAAAATTCCGAGGACCACTCATTAGGGACAAAGGACTCACCGTATTAGAAGCGCTGCGCTACGGTGCTCCGAGACGCTTTCGCGAGATCACGCTGCCAGCTCAAAGTAAACGACGAAGGTAAAGACAACGACGACGCGGACGAAGACAGAGGACACTTTGCCGATTGCGGCCTCAAAAGCATAGCACTGTTCGCGGGCTGTTTTTCGCGTGCACGTACACGACTCTACACGAGTGCAGGCTGCCGCGCGCGATTTCGCTCGTGGGGGTGTCGCGGTGCGACTGTAGCACAATCGCTACCCTCTCACGCTCTCGCAGTCTCCATCCCTCCGGATCGCCCCCTCCCTCCCTGCAACCCTCTCTATCTACCTGACCTCCTCTTTCTCTCCCCTCTCATTCTCTCACTCCGATGCACACACACACACACACTCTCTCCCTCGCGCTCGCTCGCTCGCTCTCTTCCTCTCGCTATGCTTGCTTATCTCACCCTCTACCTCTCTCTCTTTCTCTCACACACAAACTCTCTCACTCCCATTCGCGCTCTCTCTCTCCCTCTCTCTCTCTCTCTCACCCCCTCACCCTCTCGGTTCCTCTCGCGCTATAACGTCCCCACCACCAAAGCGTCTAGCCACTCCTGAAGCGGCGAAGTGCCTTTTCGAAACGCACCCCTCGCGACGGCGGCACTTTCCCGCTAACGGAATCGACGCCTTTGCCCCGTGAGGGTCCACGGAATCACCGGCTGCATTGACTGCGCTGACTACACTGACTGCTCTCGTGCAGGACGCCGATCTACGGCCGGCAGAAACTTCAAAAAGCTCGCGCATGATCGCCCGATCGGCCCGCGCATCCCGCTCACTGAGAAATCGCGATGCGACACAGCGCATCCCGTTGTCCTTATGCATCGCACGCATGCGGCTTTTTGAGGCTAAACGTAGGATACGGAGTATCACATGTTGCTGCACGATAACTCGCCGAATGTCGAGAAGCGCGAGTCACGGTGATATCGAAAAAGGAAACAGACGTATCGCGGCTGCGAGCAACTGTAGACCTATTGTGATCCTATCCCGTTCTAGTTTTAAAACGCCTTATATATTTTATGATTTCACTTAGAGAAGTGTGTGTGTGTGTGTGTCCTTATCAAATTTTACTTTAAATTCATTTACTTATTCAAAAAATAATAATTTATAGCTATAAGATAATAATAACTCGCGATAATGAAATCAACGCTTATTCACTCATATATGATAGCTTAATAATTCTACCTAATTATATGATTTAAAATTTATTATTATTATAGATTATGTAATTATTATTCTATATTTTTTCTTGTTAGCAATCAATGCGATTTAAACATGCATTACATTATATAGCGCTTTGTGAGCGGTATAAATTGTACATTCACCAATGCTCATTAATATCAAGTGACGTTCAATTGTCCTAGGTTCATCGATGCACCCCAACTATGTCGTTTGCGCACCCATCCAGCGTCCCTTCATCGTAGTCGTCTAGCTGTCATCCACGTCGATCGCTCTTCATTCACTTCACTTTTACTTCATTACACTCGCGATAATTTTAACGGCGCTTAACGATTTCGCGGAAAATTCCAGACAAATTTGCGCTACCAAACGTTAAAAATTAACGTGATAAAATTTAGCGTTTCGAGAAAATGCCTGAGTCCCGATGTGCGCATAAAAAACTGTGAAACGTATGTAAAAAATTGTAAAGCGAAGATCATGGCATTTTCGATTGAAAGAGAGAAAGAGAAAACCTCGTTTCGCGTAGAATTAAACTCAATAAAAAAGACAAGTTCCTGTCCCGCGAAAATTTTAATTTTTAAAAGAAGTTATAAATGTATGTGCGTATATATATAGAATTTAACGAGAATTTCGAATTGATATGTTATTTTAAACCGTCGAAAAGTTTTAAAAATTAATAACTGCGATGATTGCAAAATTTATCGCGGACGAAATAAACAATCGCAAATTTCGCGTACGATGGTGCGTTAGTGATGTACATTTTATACGAAATAAAAAATGGGGGAACAAATTTAATAATTAATTTTTGAATCAAGTAGAAAATTTTAAAATATTTAAATATAAATATGTTTACTTTTCAAAGATAAAGAAATTACGAAATTATCAAAAATATCAAAAATATTTCTACGAAAGAAGTATGATTTAATAATTTAAAGTTTTTAAATGTGATAAAAGTTAAATTTTTAATTTAGTTAATTGAGCTTAAGGGAATGCCAGAGCGAGCGACGAACATGATAAGCATCGATAACAGCGATCACCAAAAAGTAGAAAACATTATCATCATTTACCGACCATATCAAATTTATGTACACATAGATGGAATATTATGGAATAATATTCCATATATTATGGAATAAAGACGATCGTCAAATAGGTGCTAACATGATACCGCTATCATCTTTTCACAGATATTATGCAAGTGTGTGTGCTACGTTGTGATTTCAATTTTTTTACACATAGACGTTATATACATGTGAATGCCACGTTGCCGATATTCGCATTCTTTCCAAAATAAGTTCTTGCTACTTTTCTGATGAATTCTTCAAACCGCTTGTGTATTAAGTGTATCAAAGAAAGAGTTTTTAGAGAAGAGTGCTGTAGGCGCAAGCGTAATTAACGAATAATTTTTTGAAAAATAAAAATACGTTACCAATTATTTGAGTTTTCGATATAATTAGCAACGGTAATTTGAGATATTATTTTCATTTCGCAATGACCAATGTTACACTTTATATTCGCACGTAATTTTATCATATAAATTGGAACAGTCAGTACGCTGTAATTTTTGAAAAATAAAATCAGTGTCACGATAGCAATAGTTCCACATCGTCTTCATCCTTGAGGCAGGAATACCCTATTTCATTTATGCATGTACCTTTACTATACAAAAGCATTTTTTAATATGGTTAAGTCAACACAAAGTAAAATTTATTGGGAAATGTCGTTGACGTGATACCGAATACATTTGCAAAACTATTGTCTCGTGCTGACTCGACCAAATTAAAAACACTTTTGCATGGTAAAAGTACGTACGAAAATAAAGCGGAGCATCCATCAATATGAGACGAAAACAATAACAAACAGTTACTATCACGACATCGAATATTTCTGCAAAGTTTACTTCTTTCTACCTGCGTCGAATTAAAAACTCTTTTGTATGGTAAAATTACGTGCGAAAATGAAGCGGAGCATTCATCAATATGACGATGCAGAACGAAATAAGCGTACCCGACGTAATTATCGAAAATACACCGTTTCAAGCGCGAATGTTACTTTGAAAAACCCTAAAAAAATTAGCCCAGAATGTGGTCTACATGCTAACGCAACATGAACCTGCAATAACATGACAAACTTTCGGCCCATGCGCAGAATAGGACCACTATGCATTCGCGAGAATTCGAAAATACTGCTACGATGGATCTAACGTTATGGGCGCGACTTTGGCATATTGGGAAATTCTTTTCAACATTCTAAGGGTGCTGCTGAGGGAGTGAAGTAACATTAAGGCACATTGTCATCCAAGAGACGTGGCAGTGTGAAATAGGCATACTTCACGTCATTTTCGAAAATATACCTTTGCAAACGCGAAAATTTCCTTATGAAACTTTACAAAATTATCCCAGGCTTAACTAACTCGGCTTAATAATTTTGCGGAAACACAAAACTCATCGGTTCGAATCTCGGCTTAATAATTTAGCGGAAACACGAAACATTTCGATTGAATTTTGGCTTAATAATTTAGCGGATCCTCAATACATCGATTCGAATTTCGGTTTAACGGAATCTTAAAACACTTGAGTCCAAATGTCGGCTTAATAATTTAGCGAGAAATCGAAACATTTTGGTTCGAGTCTCGGCTTAATAATTTAATTTGTTGTCTTTCATTTGTCGAAATTTAATTTGTTGTCTTGTCAACAACAAACGCGTATGCATAAGAAAATATCTCCGAAGAGATAGTATGTCGTATATAATACGACATAACAAGTTATAAATTATATTAATCAAATAGTATATATAGAGCATACATTGGATATATATATATATATAAAACATATATAGAGCATAAAAAAGCATATATAACATATACAGAGCATATAAATATGACATGTTAAAATATATCAGTTTAATGTATCATCAAGAAATAATCTGACGAGAAGGAAGACTGCCGAGTCGAAATTTCAATTGGCCATTGTCATGGAAGAATGATCCAATTAAAAAAATTATAAGCTTTTATCAATGGATACTCCATTCACATCTTTTTAAACTAAACAAAAACAATTCAAGCCTAATAGATGTTTGAAATGAGTTAAGAAACAGTTTTTTTATTTTTTACCAGTTGCGTTTTTTTGCACATTTTTCTGAAGACTGAGCTAGTCAGTACTCTTAAAGAAATGGAAATGCTTGACTCGTTGAACTATTGCGAAAATCTCAGAGCTAAATTCTTTGGTTGGATCATTCTTACGTAACTCCGGCGAAATGTAAATTCCAATTTTTACTTTACTTCCCGTCGGACCCAATGCGATTTACGTCTACGTGCATGCAATCTACGTAAAGTGACGCTTTGTGTCTACTATATAAGCGTCTAAATTGAGCGCTCACCATTGCGCGTCGTCCCACGGTGTCCAGGGTCCACCAGCCATCCTGTCGCTGCATCTGACGACACTGCAATGGTCCTCGCGTCCCACGTCGCCTGTAATTCACTCCCGATCACGGTAATCTAACGAAGGTTTCACGAAAAATCCCGTCTTTCTTGGGGGATACATTCCGAGTTGCGAACTGCGTATGAAATATCGCGAACTGCGTCTTGGAGGAAATGTCGCCTTTCGGATAAACGATGAGTACGTGCGACGAATTCAGCAATTGTCCACTCGAGTTGTGGTGTATCGCTTTGATACACGCGCGACGCGAATTGTTTACGAAGAAAACCGTGTGCGAAGGGAACACGCGACGTGAAGGCCGATCTCGCGAAATCTTTCGACACGTGGGCGGAGTAATCTGTGCGAAATTCTCACGTACAATACGGAATATCCCTAATGTAACGTTTCGATGGTGCAGCGTAGTAGGCTGCAATACAGCTCCGCAATATTCTTGCGGATAATAGCTCCGCAATACTTTTGCGAAGATAATTCCGCAAT